TTAAACAATAGGAATGAAGACAGGGCTCAAGTAGTAGAACACAGCTGTGAGTGAAAAAGCCAACCAAGAACACAAGACCCTCAAACTCTCAGTACAGGCAGGCACACACACACACACACACACACACACACACACACACACACACACACACACACAAGTTAAACACAAGTTAGAAATAGTTCATATAAGTACAGTCAATACAGCCAAATAGTCTTTGCCAATGAACAAAAAGTAATACAAAGAAATGTTTTTTCAATAATATTACTGAAAGAACTGAACATCCACATGCCAAAGAATAAATCTAGACCCAGACCTTACAACCTTCGTAAACATCGACTCAGAGTAGTAAACTCAAAGGTTTGGATGACATAGAAAAAATAACATAACATAACATATAGGTGAATTTACTTTACATAGGAACATGTTAGATTCAACATGAAGATCCATGAAAGAAAGAATTGAAATCCTTGGCTTCATTGAAATGAAACACCGTGTTCTAGGAAAGACACTATGAACATAAAGAAAAATAAATAAAGAGGACTGGGAAGGTGGCTCAGTGGTAGAGCACTTGCCTTGCAAGCATGAGGCCCTGGGTTCAATTCCTCAGCACCACATAAGCAGAAAAAAAAGCCGGAAGTGGTGCTGTGGCTCAAGTGGTAGAGCACTAGCGTTGAGCTGAAGAGCTGAGGGATAGCGCCCAGGCCCAGAGTTCAGGCCCATGCCTGGACCCCTCCCCCCCCCAAAAAAAAGAAAGAGAGAGAGAGAGAGAGAGAGAGAGAAGCAAAGAAAGAAACAAAGAAATGAAGAAAGAAACAAAGAAAGAAATCAAATGAAGAAAGAAACAAAAAAGAAATCAAGCCACAGTCTGGGGAAAAAATATTTGGGACACATATCTAATAAAGGATACACATTATATAAAGAACAATTAAAATTCAATAATAAGAAAACAGCATGATTAAATATGGGCTAAATACTTTAATAAACACCTCACCAAAGCCTTATGAACAGATGTCAAATAACTATATAAAGGAGGTTTATTCCACATGCTTTGTCAAGACATTGCAATTTAACACAACAGTGGATAAACATCACACATATTTCAGAATTTCCAAATCCAGAGAACTGAAAATACCAAACATTGGTGAAGAACACAACTCTCTTTGTTGGTCTGGTGGTAAATTAGTATATCCACTCTGGAGCACAGTTTGGCATTTTCATACAGAACTATATATGTTATTAACATATCCATACCAATTTTTCTGCTGTTTGCAGTAGGTAGAGCCCATTTAAATTGCAGCATAGGTTAACAGCTTCATTGCCTACTTCAGTCTTCATTGCTTTCTTCAGTTCTGTTTTGTGGATTGGAAGCATGAAATCCACAGAAAAGAAAGGGTAGTCCTAAAGAACTTTGTGCAAGTAGCTGCTATTCCAAAGTGGCTGAGGCTAGGGGTTTCATACCCTGAATTGTCCCCTGATTGCTTGCAACCTAGACAAATGAGGTACAAGACAGCTGGCCAGTCAGTGGAGACTTGCTGAGCCATTGAAGGACCTGAAACTCTAGTCGTCAATTAGGTCTTCAGCATCCTCTTTCCTCAGATTATGTAGAACTAGGAGGGATGGAGGCAGAACATTCTGTTCTCTGAGGTTGGTGTGTAAGTGTGTGTGTGTAAGGGGGGCGGGGGTGCTGGCACTCTGTTCATTGAACCACAACTCTACTTCTGCATTTCACCATTTCACCAGTTAATTGGAGATAAGAGTCTCACAAACTTTTCTGCCCAATTGCCTTTGAACCTCACATCTTTCCCTTTTTGATTACAGGCATGAGCTACTGAAAGCCAACTTGCAGATGTAATTTTTAAACAATCTTACATTTTCTCCAGTCTCCTCTCTGTTCACCAGACCAACAATAACTTACATCTTCGCCAGGGATCCTGAGCTCTAACTAACCTATTAAAGTATATAATTTTTAGCTAATTCTAATATCATCCAACAACTATATTGTTTAGTTGAAAACATAATTCCACACCAAAACCTGCACAAAGATGTTGATCACAGCTTTATTTATAATTGACAAAATTTGCAAGCAACTTAGATGACCAGATTTAAAGTGTTATTATGACTCAAGAGTTCCTCTTTGGTACATACCCAAGAAAACAGAAAACATATGTCCACACAAAAACTGGTTACACAAATGTTAACTGCAGCATTGTTCCAAGTAGCAAAGATGTGAAAACAAACCACAGGCCACTTGATGAACAGGTTTATCAAGGTATGGTAACTTCATACAGTGGAATATTATTTAGCCACAAGAAAGCCATGGCACCCTGTGGGTATACCTTAGGAACACTAAGTGACACAGAAAAACTACATGCTGTTTGATTTCATTTGTGCTACAGATCCAAACTAGGTAAATCCACAGCAGTTTTCAAGCACTAGGTGTGTGAGTGTTTAGTGGGGGATGGGTGAGAGAGAGTAACAGGTGCAGGGTTTCTTATTGGGCTGAAGTTGAACAAAAATGATGGCGTAGTTCTATGAATATGCTAAAAAAAAAACACCGAGTCATACACTTTACAAGAACTAAATTTACTATAATGAAGCATTTGACACTGACTGAAACATATGAACGGCTCAGCAAATGTTTGCTGTTTTTTATTTTCATTAATAGGAATAGACACGTTTTTATCTTTGAGAAAAAAATGCAAAGCAATAGATCACTGGAATTTCTGCAAAAGAAGTAATTAGGGATATGTGACAGCAAGTATGGGTCTCTGAAAGAGTAGCAGCCATCTTGCCATGTGGAATGGGAAGGAAACACAATATGCCATGTGGGTACTCAAGAGACTGGGCCCTCCCTGTCCTACTTGGATGAAGTAAAAGCCTTTGCTAAACAAATACATTTCCAATGTTATATCCATGGTAACTGCCACAGAGAGCTGCATTTGTGAGAAAGAGCTTGATTACAAAGTATGGCCTTCTCTTCTGAAAATCTGCCATGGTGACTTTCAGTCAGGGACCCAGGGTGAAGACCCTGATTTATTTCTTTTTCAAGGGCATCCATGACAGCCTGGCCTCTCAATGAACTCTTCTTTCAGCTGCCCTGGTGGGTGACAGCATGTCTCTCTGAAGGATATACCAGGGCGATTCCACATGGGGTGCAATTTATATTTTAAATCAGAGCAGGTCAAACAGGCTGCAAAGTTCTCCAACTATTTTCAGAGGATATGTGGATTTAAAGCAATTTCTTTGAAATTTAAAAAGACCTTTTTGTTCAATATAAAGACAGCAAAAATAGTTCTATAGAGAAAATTCCATTTGCCTGTCACTCTGAGACTAAATGCATGTACACTAATGAATAACTACAGTATGATTTATGCAGGGGAGAATCACAACAGTGTAACTCCTTTGAACAACTAACTTACTATTGAATGAAATGAGTACCAGGAAGCTGGAACTTGAGGTGTCAGAGGGGGAAGGTCAAAGGGAAGGGGATAGGTAAATGAAAAGAAGAAGGATGAGAGAAGCAGTTATAATATTCAATGTATATATATGCACATATACTTGTATACATATATATATGTGTGTGTGTATATATATATATATATATATTCATATATATATATATATATATATATATGAAAATGGAACAAGGAAAATTAAGAGGACGGGTAGGATTGTGAGGTATGAATAGAATGATGACATTGCCCAAGGTGCATTGCATCTATGAACTGAAATGTTGACCTGAAACCTTTGTAGAATGACTTAAAGCTATTTTTTAAAGGTGGTGGGGAAGATTTAGTCTTCGACAATGAGAGAAGAGGAGAGGGGAGAATGGAAAATTATGCTCAGAATAGAAGGGCTAGACCAAACAAAAAGTGTCTTCCTCTTCTTCCTTCTTCCTTTCCCTTCCTCTCCTCCTCTTCTAACTCCTCTACCTCCTTTTCTGCTTCTTTCTTTTCTCTTCCTCCTTCTCTTCTTCTTTTCCAGAAAGCTTCTTGAATCACCAAGGAAATAAGACTAGAATCTTTATGTTTCTTTAGACTTCTCTTCTAGGCATGTAATGAATAGTTCTCTCCTTGTAGGCCATGGAGAAATTACTTTCCTACATTCCAGGGGAAATAAAAAATCCCACTAATGTATATGGCCTATGGGATACCACTCCTGAGAAGCTCAAGGAAGTTCTGAGTGAAATTACTTTCCTCCAGCATCAGCCCCTTCAAAAAGAAGCATCAAAAATCTTACTACAGGCCTGGAAATGTGGCTCGGTGGTAGAGTGCTTGCCTTGCATGCATGAGGCCCTGAGTTCAATTCCTCAGCACCACATAAGCAAAACAAACAAACAAACAAACCCAAAAACTGGAAATGGCTCTGTGGCTCAAGTGGTAGAGCACTTACCTTGAGCTGAAGAGTTCAGGGACAGTGCCAAGGCTCAGAGTTCAGGTCCCATATCAGTAAAAAAAAAAAGAAAAAGAAAAGCATCTTATTAGGGCAGATACAGCCTAACTGTGTATTCTCTACCACATGATTACTGATATGTTGGCTTTCTCTAAGGCTTAAAATTAGAACACCAGGCCCACATTTGTTTACAGTTGAGCATGTGCAGGGCCTGAGCCACACAACATGCTCAATAGGAAGTGTGTGTAGGTCATCTCCGCCTTCCTAGAAGCATCACCCCTCTGTGGTGTATTTAGACAGGAGGGATGATAATAATGAGCATACCATCAACTTTGCCAGTAATTCAGAAAGGGAGATATCTGGAAGTGATAGAAAAAAAAACTGCAATTGATAAAAGCTTCCCTTGTTAAATTTGGGCCACACATATTCTAAATAAAATATACCACTTAGGAAATGATTTGTGTTGATAAAACTTGATGGAGTTGTTTTTCCAAATGTCTTCTCCCTGCTGGGAATTTCACACTTTGGCAGGCTCTCCCCAGGCCTCCCCAGTTGCCATTCTCCTTCCATGACCTGACCTGGTGTTGTTTATACGGCTGTTTACACATGTCTTAACAACCTTTGCAAAGGGTCTTTAATGACTTTCACTCCTGGCAGTACATAGCTCCAGGCAGAGCTCCAAAGGCTGCCAATGTTGTTGTGTTTATTTGTGCAGTACCCTCCCCAGCTTCCTGTAGACCCCTCAGAGAGTAGTCTGGAAAGCATGTTGAAGGTTACATTGTTATAGATGCGTTTTAAGACTTGGGCTCTAATTGTTAGTAAGAAACATGGTGAGACTGCTTAAACAATTAGAAACTGTCCTGCCATCATCATCAGACTCTCTTGGTGACCTGAGCCGGTGTGTTTCAAGTCTGTTTGAAAAGTATCATGGCTCCAGTGGGATTCTGTTGTCTGATAGGAGAATTGGGTGAGTGAGCTGACTACCAAGGGCGGGCAATCTCAAACAGTCTGAGCTAGACAAATGGCTCAGAGCAAAGAGAAATGATTAGAAAAGATGGAAAATACTTCCCTTCTCCGGATGCTTTGAAGAATGACTAATATGATGAAAAGAGAATTTAAATTTTAGACTAGATTGGTAATATTAGAGTGGGAAGAGGCTAATTTATATTATTTTTGATATATTTTTATTGTAAAGATACTGTACAAAGGGGTTACAATTACATGAGTAAGGTAATGAGCACATTTTCTATCTAGCATTGTTATCCCCTCCTTTGTTTTTCCCCTACCATCCCTTCTCTCCCCACCTCCTCAACTCTTCCCTTCCCCCCACCAACCTGTAAAGTTCATTTTCAACACTGTCTTGTACATCTCATTGTTACAATGGGTCAACTTGGATCCTTGTTTCAGCATTTTATTTTCCTTCCCCTCCCCAAACACGAAAAATGTATCTGCAGGGCACCAGAATCAAATACAGTGAAAACAGGAATTATAACATGGGGGAAGAACATACAAAAGAAACAAAAAAAATCACACAATACATTATAAGTACACTATAAACAACAGCAACATTGTATAATTCAGGCCATGGGAGGAAATTGTATCTAGATTTTCTAGCATGAAATTCTAACGGGTATTGCTAGATCTTCATTCCTACTTGGCTGTCCATGAAAATAACAGAGAAGCCACAAATCCATCATGAAATGAATGGGGGTAGAATAGGAAAGACTAGAAGCATCCAAGTGGACTGAGCAAGAGTGGGAAGCCCAAAGTGTGATTGCCAGGGCTCCATATGCGCATTGGAAACATGGTGCCCTAACTTCTATGGGAACTGGGAACTGATGAAATCAGCTGTATTTATATCAGAAAAGGCTGTGTCCCAAAGGATAAAGTCCCTCAGAGACATATCAATAAAAATATCAAAACTGAAATAATGCAGTATTACAAGTGTCAAAGACATCTTTTGAAGCAAAAAGGTGTGTAGGAATCATACGATATTTAAAAATATGGCCATTGTTTATTGTGACAAATAGATTTCATATTTGAAAGATTGAACATTATTCTAAATACAGAGGAAATAGTTTCAAAACAACCATAATCCATTTCCCATAGCAATTATTAGACAAATATCTTCTTTGATTTTTTTTCTCTGAAGTTTTCTTAAATCTCAAAGTAGTTCATTTAGGTCCTGGTTTCTTCAAATGATGAATTGTCACGTTCTATAAACATCATCCTCTTTACAGGGATTTCCATGTGGTTTCAAGCAAATGTGTGTTAAATGCCTATTATTGTTTCTGGGAATACAAAAATAAAGAAGATACCACTGTGGTATGTCTCCACTTCAAAGATGTTGCAGTGTAAAGACAGAGAATGCTAGATCATTTTTCAAAAACTATGAAAAAAATAACTAAATGTACCCATTAGCTTTTTCTCCTCGACAAAGAACAACTTTTTCTAATAGGAATTTCAGAAACATATGCCTACATTGACCGTGAATGCTAAATAGGTAAAGGAAGTATTTACCTTTAAGATTTATCTGAGTTAGGTGCTTGTGTCTCATGCCTGTGATCCTAACTAGTCAGCAGACTGGGATTTGAAGATCATAGTTAGTTTGAGGACAACCTGGGCAGAAAAGCTCATGAAATTCTTTTTTTTTTTTTTTTTTTTGTCAGTCACGGGGCCTGAACTCTGGGCCTGGGCACTATCCCTCAGCTCTTCAGCTGTAGACTAGCGCTCTATCACTTGAGCCTCAGCCCCACTTCTGGCTTTTTCTGCTTATGTGGTGCTGAGGAATCAAACCCAGAGCCTCATGCATGCAAGGCAAGCACTCTACCACTGAGACACCTTCCCAGCCAAGTTCATGAAATTCTTATCTCCAATTAATTACCAAAAAGCCAGAAGTTGAGATATAGCTGAAATGGAAGAATGTCAGTATCAGAAAAAGTCAAGTAAGACTGTGAATCCCTTAGTTCAAATACCATTATAGACACAAAGCATTATTTTTCTTGGTGATTTTTATAACAGCATCACCCAGACAGATGGTTCTTTCTACATTGGTATCTCTGAGTTCCTTGAATTTCTCTATGGTAGGGGTCTTGTTTCTATTCTACCTTATTTTTCTAGGTAATTATTGTTATTATTAAAATTGCAACACTTGTAAAATGCTAGCTAGAAGGATTTATTACTACTATGAACCACTGACTGCATCATATATTTTATATTTCAATTCACTTTTCAAATTAGAGACTTACTACAGTTAAATTGTGTTTGTCTCCTCATTGAATATGAGAGGGATGTATGGTAGATACTATGTCTTTTTAGTCCACAAAATATCTATCTATCTATCTATCTATCTATCTATCTATCTATCTATCTATCTATATATGGCACATTATACTATACATTTATGTGTATATGTGTATGTGTGTATAAATTTATATATGCCTAACTTCTCTGATAATGTAAGTTATAAAGATATGTATGGTTAGGTAAAACTTAAATAGAAAAAAAGATTGCTTATAGACAAAATTATGACTGGGAAGACTTAACTGAAATCAAGTGAAAATTTTGAGAAAAATTATTGATTCGGAAGAATAACAGGAGTTTTAGCATTTTAAAAATAAGATTTTCAGTAGAACAAATGACAGAATGGAGTGAGAAAGTTTGAGATAATTTCCTTCATTACTTCTTCAGGACCTTTATTTTTCAAGAGAAAGCAATTTATTTTCTACATAATAGCTAATTCTTGAATTTTCCTTTCAGTCAGTCCACTATTATTCAAACATGAGTTTATGTATATAAATCTGAATCCAGCTTCCCTAGACAACTGAGCAAGTGCTTTATCAGTCAGTAAGGAGTCAGGACCATAAGATTTAGGGACCATCCCACTCACATCAAAAAGAAGGTCAAGTGAAGCTTTTATCTTTAAGCTGAAACTACTCCCTTTCTGTGAAAATTATTTGTGGACCTGTAGTTCATATCCATCATCAGCAAAAGGAATGACCCTTTAAGTGGCAACAAATTAAAGGACTAACATCTCAGTTCATGTCTTGCGGAATTTAGAGTGTCAGTAGCAATTGCAAAGATCAAAATTGCCTCACTAATTCCTAAATTCTGAGAGTATAAAATCATATGACAGCTTTTTTTTCTATGTTCTGTGGTCAGAGGAAGAATAACATGTTAGCTATACAATTAAAAGCACCTTCACTGTAGAAATATTTCAGATTAATCTCATTAAAAGCAATATCACCTCTGGTATAAATTAAAAGAATTTGGATTAGGTAAAGAGACTTAAGTCAGGCTGATACTACTGCTGTCTTCTGGTGGGTTGTGGAAAATCTTCATTCTTTTCCCCATTCAAAAAACAATAATTCTAATCAAATGAAATCGTAAACATGATAGTACTTTGTAAAGAAAAAAGCACTATTCTAAATGCTGCTCCTGTTCAATAATGATAATTAGTATTAGTGAATTAATTTGTATGTGTGAATCATATCTAAACTTGTATTATTGTATCTTTTTTATTTGTTTGATGGTACCGGGGTTTGAGTTCAGAGCCATGTGCTTATTAGACAGCTAATCTACAACCATTCCTTTTTGCTTTCAAGGTTTTTGAAATAGTCTTCTGGTTTTGCCTGCTAGACAGCGATCTTCCTACTTATACCTCCTACCTAGCTGGGATAACATTCTACCACTCCAGCTTCTTAACTAAAATCAATTCTTGCTAACTTTTACTACCATGATTACACAAGTTTCTGGTCCAAGAAGCCAGAACTAGTCAAAGCACTTCCAGGCTACACTCTATCTTCACCTTTGATTGTTTTACTTTGTTAATTAGCATATATTAATGATACAAAGGGACTTCACTGTGAAACATATGCACAGTGGCCCCTGCACTTGGAAGGGCTGGTGTTGCTGTTTTGTAAATTTTGTAAATTTATTTTTATTTATTTTTTCTTGTAAAAGTGATATACAGAGGGGTTACAGTTATATAAGTAAGGTAATGGGTATATTTCTTTTCAAACACCGTTATCTACCCCTAATTTTCTCCTGCTCTCCCTTCCCACAACTCCCCTCCTCCCACGTTGTAAAGTTTATTTTTTAAAAAATAACTCACCTGCTCATTTTGTCCTGAGCCCAACAAATGATATAATAGCTCCTGATTCAGACAAAAAGTGGTTTACTAGAGATGAGAGAGATGAGAGATTTAGAGAAAGGGTCTTGGAAGAAGTTATGCCTGAGTTTATATCTCAAAACATAATAATAATGTAGCCACCCCAAAAGGCAAGTTTAGGTCCCACCAATTGCCAGGGTAAAACATCCACATTGAAGAGGATAATTGAGGAACTTGGTTAGACTCAAGAAATATTTTTAATAGAAAAAAGAATTTTGAAATTGCACTGGACTTGGAAGAGTGTGAAAAAGCATCTGCACAGTTCACTGGTGATGCAAATTGTCAGCGGGTCCAGAAAGACTCTCTCTGCAGGAGCCCCTGGGCTCCAAGACAAAAGTGTGGCAACATGGTGCTTCTAGTTTGGTGTTGTCTCAAAGATAACAACTAGAGAAAGAGACAAATGACCCTGCATCTCCTGAGCAGAACATGCAGAAAAGGTATTAGTTATCTGTGAAAGCCAGGCCTCTAAGACAATGAGATGAGTGAGAATATAATAAGAGAGTGATAATATCAGGTAATTATTCTATAGTGTTTACAATGGTGGGTATCTACTCTGAATTACTTGTACTAAACCATTTAGACTTCCTAACTGCTGTATGATATATGTCTATAGATATTTATATCTATAGACATATATCTATATATCTATAGGTATAGATATATAATACAGAATAATAATTTGCCTCATCTTACATAGGAAGAAATGAACACATGACAGGTTAAATAACATTCCAACAAAGCAAATTGCAGAGGTAGGATTTGAATCCAGGTTGTTTCCAGAACTGATGTTAACAACCACTTTAGTGTATTGAAAACTCAAATTTATTTCCCAGATGCAGTAAAGGTTCTTTTGCCTTATGAAAAAGATGGGAGTTTCTTAATATGGACTAAAAGGCCTGGTCTGGACTGTCTCTCTAGACTAATCTCCAGTATATTCTCCTCTGAGATACAAAAGCAGTCCACACTAACACTAGAATGACACCAGCTTGTATTTTCCAAAGACAGTTGCCACAGTGTATCTCAAACCAGAGAGATCTCCAAGAACGTGACATTGATGATCCTCCTACACAAAGAAAGTTCTTTGTCTCCATCGCATTTGAATCTGGATAGCTAACTGATTAAAGCAGAAGTAATGCTTGTATCACTTACAAAAGAAAGCAAGATGTTTCCACCTGTTTCTACATAGAGACATAGCATTTATTAAGTGTACGTAGGTACAGTCCACAGCTATACTGAAGAGATAGATGGCAGGTAGCACAGCCCTCCAGACAAGGAGTGAAGGAATCTTCAAGATAACTCTAGCCCTATCCACTGGTCTAAATGCAGCTACAAGCCAGACCCTGAGCCAGGACTGCCTTGGCATGCAGTCCTTGGGATTATAAAAGTTATTGTAAAAGGATTGTTGTTACTTTTACTTTGAGCTTTATATACACATTCATTTCCAATATTACCTGCTAGTCTAAGCCACACATTTCCAGCTCCAAACATTTTATCCTTTCCTACCTCTCCCTCCTTGAAGCCAATGAGTCCTTTTTCCTATTTTTGAAAGAAGCAGTAAAATACATGTTCTTTTGAATCACTAAGGTTTGTTTTAGAAGTCACCTTCCAATTATTTTTTTGCTACCGAGTACCCAACATCCAAATTACTTTTCTTTGGTGCCAAAGCCCATGTTATTCTGAACCAGGTTGGGTCAGAGACATGTACAAAAGCCAAAAGGCTGACGGAGCAGTTTTTTCCCTCTGAAGAACTAAGGAGAAAATTGATGAATATGTGAACTGAGCAATCTTGGGTAAAAGCAGACAGAAATGAGTGAAATCAGTACACAGCAAGTGATCATTGGAAAAAGTCTTTTACTCCTGGTGTTTTGTCTTTATTCTTTATACTTTCCTCATTTTCTATGTACCTTTTCTACACAAACCTTCCTAATAGCATTCTCAACCCCTCTCCACTCATACCAGGTCCTGTTGCTTTGCTGTGAACTCCATATTCCTTTTCTTTAAAAACAGGGTTAGCAATATTCTTTTCTGGTTTTACTACTGAATAACATGATATTACTGGTTTCTGTGTATTATCAGGTAACTTTGGGAGTAGAGAAAATATTGAGTAAAATTTAGTGTATCCAAATGCATGTCCTGGGCCTTAGAGTTCATTCAATAAGTCTTGGAATGCATATTTAAGAGAATAAATGCTGGTGTCCCCATGCTAGGAGAAGAGGATTGCTTTTAAAGGAAGACTCCAACAGCAAGAAGCTATATACAATTTTGAGAGTGACTTCAAGTTGTATTTCTGAAGTTGACATAGGATTCCTCAAGTGCCAGTAGCAAAGACAAACTGTGTGGAGAACAAATGAACCTTGTTTGCAAACAGTTTGCAAAGATAAACCTGTTCATTTCCCATATGTGTTTTCCAGCTGGAGCAAATAAGCAATTTCCCTAGGGTTCGGCCTCTGGTATGCTGAAGAGTTTTGCCTGCAGAAGCCTTGCTGTGTTAATGCTTAACACACCTCTAGATTCAGTACATTATGAAAGTTGGAAATACTGGCCACTGGGAGAGTGTTCACATTGAAAAGGTGTCATCACAAGGACCCTTCCATGTCCCAATTCCATTTCTTGTCTCCTAGTAAGGGTGAGTTCAGACTTTTGAATATAACAGTGACCTGTGGGTTCCTTATTCTACCTTATGCCTAGATAAGAAGTTAGGGCTTTGCCCCAAATCCCACAATTCTCTCAAAGACATGCCTGCAAATGACTTGAGGGCCTCTCAAAAGGCTTCACCTGTTAACTGTCCACAGCTTTCCACAATGCGTTCCACTTATGTCTTTAATAGATGTTGGCCTTTTGAGAGACAGTTAGCATGCAAGCCACAGAAGTACTATTGTACACAAATTTCACCTCCCTGCATTATTTGGTGAACACCACAGAATACAGATAGTGCTTTGCAGGTATCTTTAAAATCAGAGTGCATTTTTAAGCTCCATTTATCTAAATAATAGCTAATCCACATCTTATTTTTCACATAAATTTCAGACTGTTGAACTTCCTTAATATTTCTTACAGGACAGGCCTGCTAGCAACAAATCCTCTTTGTTTTCTTTTTTCTGGGTATGCATAGGTTTCTCCTTTATTTTTGAAGAAAAAATTTTGTTGAATAGAGAATTATTATTTGACAGCATTTTGAATATTTCATGCCAGTACACTCTAGACCCGATTGATTCAAATTAAAAGTGATCTATTAATTCTTGTTTTTGTTGTTGCTGCTTTAAAACTATACTTTTAAAAAAATTAATGGACATGTGGTAGTTATACTGTACAGAGGGGTTACAGTTACATGAGCAAGGTAATGAGTACATTTCCTACCAAGCATTGTTACCTCCTCCTTTGTTTTTCCCCTACCATCTCTTCCCTCCCATCTCCACAAATACACTCCCCCCCCTAAATTGTAAAGTTTTTTTTCAACATAGTGTCTTGTGCAACTCATTGTTACAATGGGTCAAGCTTTATCCCTATTTAAGAATTTTGTTTTTTCCCTTCCCCTCCCCAAATTAGAGAAGTGTATAGACAAGAAGCAGGGCATTGACATCAAATACGGTGAAAATAGGGGTTATACTGTGGGGAGAGGAATATACAAAGAAACAAAAAAAAATCACATGGTACATTATAAATACTTTAGAAATAATAGCAAGAAAGAAATAACAACTTGTGTCCCTATCTTGGGGTTCATTTCACTTAACATCATCTTATAAGGTCGTATGTACATAGCTTTTTACCTTTTCTGCTTGTCTTAGACATATACTAGTTATTGCAAATAATGGAAACCATGGGACCTATGTTTCTTTCTTTTTTTTTTTTTTTTTTGGATCCGGTCGTGGGGCCTGAACTCTGGGCCTGAGCACTGTCCCTCAGCTCTTCAGCTCAAAGCTAGCGCTCTACCACTTGAGCCACAGCACCACTTCCGGCTTTTTTCTTTTTGCGTATGTGGTGCTGAGGAATCGAACCCAGGGCCTTAGGCATGCAAGGCAAGCGCTCTGCCACTGAGCCAACTTCCTGGCCCGGACCTATGTTTCTTTGGGCCTGGCTTACTTCACTTAATATAATTTTTTCCAAGTCTTTCCATTTCCTAACAAATGGGGCAATGCCATTCTTTCTGATGGAGGCATAGAATTCCATTGCATATATATATATATATATATATATATATATATATATATATATATATATATATATCTCACATTTTCTTATCCATTCATCTACTCAGGGGCATCTGGGTTGGTTACATATCTTAGTTATGGTAAATAATGCTGCGATAAACATAGTTGTGCTGGTAATTTAATATAGCCTTGTTTGTGATCATTTGGGTAAATACCCAAAAGTGGGATTGCTGGATCACAGGGGAGCTCTATGTAGAGTTTTTTGAAGAACCTCCATACTGCTTTCCAAAGTGGTTGAACATGTTTACACTTCTACCAACAATGCAGTAGGGTTCTCTTCTGTCCACATCCCCTCCAGCATCTGTTGTTATTAGATTTCTTGATTATAGCCATTCTAACTGGGGTGAGGTGGAATCTTAATGTTGTTTTGATTTGCATTTCTTTTATTGCTAGAGAGTTTGAGTATTTTTTTATATGTCTATTGGCCATTCTTATTTCCTTTCCAGAGAAGTTTCTCTTTAATTCTTTAGCCCACTTATTAATCAGCCAGTTGTTTCTTTGAGGATTTGTTGTTGGGGGATTTATTTTTTTGAGTTCCAAGTATATTTTAGATATAAGACCCTTATCTGTTGTATGGCTAGTGAAGATCTTCTCCCAATCTATGGTCTTTCTATTGATCTTTCTAGCTATGTCCTTTAAGCTCTGCAGTTCATGCTATCCCATTTGTCCAACCTTTCTTTGATTTGTTGTGTTTCTGGGTCTCTATTAAGAAAATTTGGCCTGTGCCAAGGAGACCTAGGGTTTCTCCTATTCCATCCTGTAATGTTTTCAGATTGTCTGCTTTGACTGCATGGTCTTTGATTCATTTAGAGTAGATTCTGTTGCAGGGTGATATATATGGATCTAGCTTTAGTTTTCTACAGGTGATTAACCAGTTGTGCCAGCACCATTACTGACTTTCTTCCCTTCTATTTTTTTTATCTCCCTTATCGAAAATTAGGCGGCTATCGGTCTGTGAGTTCATTTAGGACATATGTTCTTAACACTTGAGCCTCATACCCAGTCCTTTTAATTTTAGTTAGTTTTTAGATTGGGTCTCACATTTTTCATCCATGACTAGCCGTGAACCACAAACCCACAAACCTCCTACCTACAGTCTCATACATCCTGAGATAATCAGCATAAGGCATCCTGCCTAGACTGTTTGTTGAAGTGGGGTTTCACTAGCATTTTTTTTCTCAAGGCTAGCCTCAAACTACAGTTTTCTCAATCTCTGTCTCTCAACTGGGTTTAAGGCATGTGTCACCATGGCAGCCCAGCCACTCAATTATTTGAGGATCATTTGTGTTTGATGAATTGTCCTTGTCTTTCCTGTTTTCAGGATTTTCTCTTATCTGATTATGATGACATAGAATTTGTTGACACTTTTGGTGTATAAATTAGTGGGGTTTGCTATATTTGGGATTGTTCGGACTATCTCCTCAAGTATTATACATTATACATTTTTCATCTTTCTTTCTGGAATTCCTGTTATGCAGATATTTATATCCTTGTCATGCTTCAGAAGTCTATGAGACTTCAATATTTTTATTCTTTTATTCCATTTTGTTCCTAAAATTGTGTAATTGTAATTGAGTTATATTAATCCTCCTTACCCATGGGGAATATGCTACAAAAATACCAGTAGATGTTTGAAACCACGGACAATACCCAAATTCTATATAACCTAGTATTTTTTTCTATACATCCTATGACAGCATCTCATTTATACATTATGTGCAATAAGAAACTAACAGATATAACTGATACAGAAATAGAAAAATATAATAAGATACTATACTATAAAAATTGCCACACCACTAGTGCCACACTTTTGGACATTATTAAGTAGTACAAGAGTTATTAGAAAACAAAGCATTATGATACAGCAATAGTTGATCTGATAACTGGGTGACAAGTAAGTGACTAGTAGGATGAGTAGTATGCACAGTGAGGGAGGGGACACTGGAGGAAAAGATGATGTCCATCATGAACAGACAAGGCATGAGATTTATCATGTTACTGGGAATGAAACTTATGCATTGCTTATTGTTATGTAATGCATTTAGCTTGAAATTGACTATATGTAACTACTACCACAGAAGGTAAAATTATAGTTAAGGGATGGGGTGGCACCAAAAGAACCCCAAATTCACTGATTTGTCGTCAGTCAACTCATGTATAAAGCTGGGTTTTTTGTTTTTTTTTTTTTACTTTTCAACACTGTAGCTTCTATTTGATTTTCCCCATATTTTTAGCTCTTTATTTATATTCTTCATTTGATGTGACATTGTTTTAACTGTTTCGCTCTATTCTTTTGACAGAATCTTCTTTGAATATATTTACAATAACTGACTTAAAATTTTCATCTAGTAAGTTCAACATTTAGACTTCCTCAGGAAGTCTAAATTGACAACCTTCCCCAGCCGCCTGATATTAGTCAGAGTGCTCCAAAAATGCAAATAACTTCAATTATTATCTTTTAAAAGTTGCATCAAGTTAGTTTTTCCTATGCTACTCTGTAGTTGCATTACTTTTCTTCTGTTTCTATTGTCACTTGTTTTCACGTTGGTCTGGATCTTTAGGAGAATAAGAAAAATCAGAATTCTTGGCCTTCTAAAGGTCTCTGGTTTGGAATTGGGAGATCATCATATTAAAGTTATTGGCCAGTTATTCCTGATCTTATTCAGCCCTTCAGCTATCCTGAACTACAATCATATGACCATCCTGGCTCATTTTTGATAGTTACTGTACTCCTTCTGTTCATTTATTCCTTTTTGACTTTCAGATGCTTTCATTTTTTTCTAACTTACTGGTATAATATACTCTTTATTCTCACTGTATTTTTCTCAGAAAGAAGATTCTCATGCTTTTCTTCCTGTGTATTTTTGTATTTACCTTTCCAAATTTTCTTTTTATTATTTTTCCTTTCCCCTCCCCTTCTCTCCTTTTGCCTTCCATTTCCCCTTTTTCTCTTCCGTGGCTTTCTTTTTTCTTTCTTTTTCTCTTTGTTTCTTTATCTCTTTCCTTGCTTTCTTTCTTTCTGTCTGACTTCCACCTCTTCTTCCTTCCTTCTTTTCTCTTTCCTTCTCTTTCCTTTCCTTTCCCTCCCTCGGTCCTCCCTCTCTCCTTTCCTTCCTTCCTTCCTTCCTTCCTTCCTTCCTTCCTTCCTTCCTTCCTTCCTCTTTCATTCATTATTTATTTTTCTCTATATGCAAAGAGAAATACACACACATATATGTATATATATATATATATATATATATATTCTATGTACTGCGGGTTGAAGCTGGTTTCCATATGCTAAACAAGAGCTATATTACTTAAGCAATATCCTCAGCCCATTTGTTCATACTTAGATTTTGAGACAGGGTCTCATTAACATTTTTTTATATATCTTGTTTATTGATGCTTCTCAAACCATAGGATAATATCTAAAACATAATCAGAGCTTTGTTGAATCTTTGTTGAATCATTAAATCAATTTTTATTCCAAATCTAGAGATTATCAAAATCCTCACAGGCCACTGCAAATATAACATGCTCACTAACTTTTTCTAGGTTGGTCTTGAACTAGATATATTCTTGCCTCTGTCTCCTGAGCAGCTGGGATTATAAGTGTATCACTACCTGGTTTAAAGTGTCTTTTTCTCTTTCACAATTCTAAGATAAGAAACAAAATATTTGTATTTTTCTTATGGAAAGTGCTAGCCATGTTCACAATAATGCTGCTAAAGACCTGTTTGAATCCTCCCAAAGTCTCACTGAAAAGATCATATACAATAATTGTATGGTTTTAAAAGTATACAAATAAATCAAAATCCAGTAGCATACAGAGTAAAAATCTGCTTCAATAACATTTTTAGCAACAAAAGTCAGACTAGCAAAACCCTCTTTTCCCCCTCTATATCCTTCTCTGAATTTGAAAATGTGTCATATCACACATATCTGAGAGAGTGTGGAGGATGCCTGGGAATAGTATCTGTATGTTCCTAAAACAACAAAGATGTCATGTAGCACTTGCTTTAGATAAGTGAATGCTTGGGCTGAGGACAAGATGTACGCAGGGGATTCTAAAGCTCCAACTAATTAGGGAGATATCGCTTGAAAAGTTACATAACTCTGTGTGACTGGAGTAACAGCTATCAAGGGAAACTTCTGGGAGCCATCTTGCTTTCATTCCACAATCTTCTGATGACAGAACAAGCAGTATGATTGGTAGCATGTTCCTTGAAGTATTCCCTGCCTTTTTCATTTTAGTGGCAGAGGAGAAAGACATAACTATTTTAAGGAAGTTAAAACATTCCAATAATTTGAAATGAATATGATTGTTACATGGATTTAAGAAAACTAACTAGACTCATTAGTACTCATATAAAATCATTCACTTTATAAATGATAAAAGCAAGCAGTACATAATAATCATTAAAGCCCCAACAAGTATTCAAGAGTCTTGATAACTGTTTGCTTTTCTCACTATCAGAATTTTCCTAATAGTCATAAGAAATTGGAGCAAAAGAGAAGGGGATAAACTTCTAAATATTAATGTATGCTTTAATCGTGGAATATGTTATATAGGAATAAAAGATTAGTCAAATTTCATTTCCTCCTATTTTTATTACCACCAAACACTTGTATAAAGGGATTTCAATTTCACATGTCCATGTATGATTATAATGCATCTTGATCAGGGTCACCCCTTCCAGTATCCCCTTCCATCTCTTCATCCACACCCATCTCCATCAGTTCTAGTTTCATATGTGTACATTGAGGCACAACTTCCTTTTATGTAAGATACCCTGTGCTGATCTACAATGAGTAAAGTATTGTTGTATGTCTTGGGATACACACAAATATAACATTTTCCTTAAGAAGTTCACAAACCGAATTATGGGTATAAAATGTAAGCATTTTTATACACATTCATGAAAAGATTATTTAGTGACTCATTAACAGGAAGGTCTCAAGGTGACAGATACATTCCTTGAAAAGTTACTGTATTTAGAGGTGAGCAGGTAGCAATAGCAAGGTAACACTGAGGCAAGTGGGAGGACATAGAGGCCTAAGCTTGCTATAATAAATAAAGGTTTCCTGTGGGGAGATAGTAGAGAGAAGCATCATTAGGGGCCTTGTTGTAGTTACAAATCAGAGTACCCATGCTTTCTACTCCAGGGACAGTGTGCACTGTCACAGCCCTTTGATGTCAAACATGCTGCTGGTGTTCATTTATAACTGAATTGTTTCCATAAATTTAAACTTTCCTCATTTGGAAAAAGAAGTTGATACAGCTCCTAAGATTAAATAACATAGTATGATCGGAAATGTATAAACGCTAGCTCTAAATAACTATGTAAACAAAACAAATAAGCAAATGTAAAATAAAATGGAAAGGTAACTATTAGGAATGAGCTCTCAATATAACTCTAAATTTAGTAATCAGTGGAGGGCAAAGTTAATAAGATTCACACATCATAAACTCTTAAATCTATCTACAGGCAATTATTCAGATGAAGTTGAAAGTTTACAGGACTGGAAACAAAAAGCTTTCCAACTTGAATTCTATTTCCAGCTTTGTCAGTCAATGACTGCCAGTGTTAGTTCCTTAATCTCATTAGGGCTCAGTTCCTCATATGTATTTATTAAAAGGTTTAGTCTAAAGAGCTGATGAGGTCTTTGCCAAAGCCAACATCTTATCTTTCTATTACATAGTTTTCCAGCAAACATGTCCCAGTGAAAACCCAACCAAAGTGGATTGAAACATAAAACAGAAGAGATTAGAAATGTCTGTATTCTTTAGTCCCTAGATTACAAATGTATTAAGACAAGATGTAACATATCATCCATCTGTTACTACAAAGTTCCACATAGGAGGTTTATTAGGTTATACTATGTGAAACTGCTGGTTTTGTAGATCAAATGTTGGACTGACTCTTCATAGTTGTCAGGTGTGAATGCTGAACCAAGATGCCTAGGTGAAAATCCTAGCTCTCCCCCTTCTATCTGTGCACATTTGAACAAGTTATTTAACCTTTCTTAGTATCAGTTTCCTCACCTATTAACACTGGACAAATTATACAAGATACTTCCCCCTCATCCACATTTCAAGGCCCCCTGATAGATGCCTACAACAAATAGTATCAAACCCTACATATACTGTTTGTTCTCTATATATATTTACACGTGACAAAGTTTAATAAATAGATTATCCACAATAAAAAGATTTATGACAATTGTTAATAAAGTAGGATTGTAAAATATGCTATAATAAATGCTATATGAATGAGATCTACCTCTTTCTCTGAAAATACTTTACTATATTCAACAACTCGTGAGATGAGTAGATAATCCTTTATATGGTGGTCTGAGGTGGTGGGGTGATTGACACAGACACTGAAGTAAGAAAAGCAGGCATTGTGATATAGCATCAGGCTATTATGTCAAGGTTACATGAACAGTAGCACTGTGGATACCCTGACAGTCAGTCTGATAACCAGAAGAACTCCTGTGTGACTAACAGGCAGGGAATACAGTGTTGATAAAGTGAGCAAAGAAATGATTAATATCCCAGTCAGGATGGGATAAAATGGTGACACTTTACCACATTACTCAGAATGGAGCAATTCAAAATTATACACTGGTCATTTGTGAAATTTTCCACTAATATTTTAGGACTGTGGTTGACATAAACAATTGAAACCACAGGAAGCAAGACACTAGATAAGGGCAGCTTCTATGATAGCACCTACTTCACAGGGCTGTCTTAAAGATTAAAGTATATATAAGCACCTAGCACACCGACTACCAACAGATAATAGCTCAGTAAATGTTAGCTACTAGCTACATTAGCTACGGGGTTTGTGATTCAATGAAGTACACAGAAAAGAAGTAACTAGCTTCAGAGATATACTGGAAATATCATCCTGCTATTTGCCATCCTATATGGTAGATAGACACAGTAATATTATTAGCCAGTGGCTTTCAAAAAAACTTAATTGTAGAACCACAGTAAAAATTACAACTTACATCAATCTCCCTGTCTTCTGTCTGTTTGTCTGTCTCTCACACACACAAATAAAATGAAGTTTCATGAATCTAGCAATTACTCAGTGCTTTTCATGTTGCTGTTGTTGTGGTTTGACGTAGAGGTTCACTAACTCATTTTGGCCTGGAACTTGAGATACTCTGTCTCTACATCCCAATAGGTCACATTTAGTGAAGCAATAGACAAGGTCACCTTTAGATTTGGCTATAAAGAACCATATTCTCATTCCACAGTATCAAGATCAGACTCAGTCTGTGAAATATCCAGAGAACCACTGCCACTTTTCATAGCTTAGAATCCTATTTCCCAGCTTTGAATCCCTATTTCTGCCATCCTAACCACAAGGAAAAGCATTAGGCTTTTGACAAATCCTAATGTGTAGGTACAGGCAACCAATTTCACTTTTATCAAGATTTTAAGATAAAACCTTCCATCATCAGATGTAGGAGTGACATGATAGCTTACATATTTGTACTTATGGTTCCACCAGGTTCCCAGTGCCCTACTTATCATCAGGTTAAAAGTGCAATCAGTGAGTACAACTTCTCCTGGCATGCTATCAGAATGAGTCTCCACTACACACCAACATAGAAGTGATATTCATCAGCACACACCGCATTTTTTATAGTAGTGATTTTATTTTTAGGTAATGAAGTACTTCAGCATTTTACTATATGGGTAGGGACAAAAGGATACTTTCTCAAAGTACAAAGTACAGACAATAGTGTGGTAGTTCTACAAATAGATCATTATTATTTTGAGGATATATTTCACATGCAAGTTCTCTATAAAGATCAGCTACATCCTTTCCAGCTGATCATTTTGAAAAAGTTATTTAAGGGAGTGCACAGACAAGGCATAATGCCAAGGGAGGGGCAGAATCCTCAGGACTGAAAAGCCTACTGGGATTCCTGGGCTCAGCAAGAAGAAGCAGGGCTTTGAGGCCACACTATTTCATAACAGATCTTATTCTTCTTAGAATTATCTCACAACATGCCTGATGTCCAAAGAAAATATCAGAGATCTCTACAAGTCCTCAGATCAACTCCCACATGTATTCTTTCAACTTTCCTAAATCACTAACGGGTTCCCTTCTGCATGTATAACTCTTCTCTAGGCTCAGTGAGCAATAGGGAAGAGATGCAGAACTTCAGTGTTAATTGGGTCAGAAAACATAGCAAGTAGCATTTATGAGCTCTTAGGATGGGCTAAGTTTTGTGTATTACTCACTTGATTCCCATAGCAATTTTATCCGTAGTCTTCATTATTGTGTCAATCTATATATGAAAATTCTGAAGTTTAGAGAGCTTTAGGACTTAAATACACAGAAGAGACAGGATTGGAACTCATGCAAACTGACCCCAGACACCACGATCACTTTCTTGGTACAGAAATGGTACGAAAAACTCAGCCATAAGGTAGGTTATGATGGACCAAAACAGTGACAAACAGTGACAAAAGAAATGGTACGAAAAACTCAGCCATAAGGTAGGTTATGATGGACCAAAACAGTGACAAACAGTGACAAAAGAAATGGTACGAAAAACTCAGCCATAAGGTAGGTTATGATGGACCAAAACAGTGACAAACACTGCCCAGAGCCAGCTGAATATGAACATTTACTTTTCATATTTGATTCTTGTAGATATATTACATTCCTGGGTTACTTAAGGAATGACATAAAAGAGGCCCTTCAAAGAAAGACATGTGCTTTCTTCTCCCTTCATGTATACTCACAAGTACCATTCATTTTCATTGATATGAGTTACAAGAGCCATTAGTTTTACAGGGAAGATTGCCTGAGACCCACCAGATTTATATCAAATAATGTCCTTATCCATGACTTACTGTTTACCATATCATTTAGACACTTTGACTATTTTTAGACAATATTGCTTCCATTTATTATGTTCAAAGTCCAACAAAGGTGTGCAGTTTTTTCCCTTCCGTAACTCTATTTAGTATTCTGCTAGCAAAGTGAACGTTATACTTCTTTCCCAGACATAAAGACTTGGATTTCAAAAAATTATGTAGAGGAATATTTGTGCTCTTATTGAAATATGCCTCTATAGTCCTTTTATATTTAAAAAAAAACCCAGAAGAACACTGCATCAGGAGTAGTGTTTGATGATACAATGGTCCTTATAGCAGTTGGTAGAAGTGGGCACTGGTGTGTGCTGAAATAATTTTGTACCTAGGGATTTCTGAGGATGAGTTTATTAGCTCATGCTAATAAACCATTAAAATAAACCATTAAACCTACAGAGTTACCACTTCCCTCTCTTATAACAATGGCATTTTTCAGACGACAGTCTGGAATCACATAGAGCTTTAAAAATTCACATTTAAAATTCCTATAACCGCAGCTCTTGTCTGAGGCAGACCCTGGAATCTGCATTTTAAACAAGCATCTCAGGGGATCACATTTTAAGCAATACAGGTCTCTACATAAGTTCCATGAGACTTAGAAGGCATATTTAGTGCATATATTCTTTAAAAAAACAAAAAGTATCATTAACCAAGTGCTCTCGGCACATGCTTGTAATCCTATTTGCTCAAGAGACTGAGACCTGGCAAATCTTGATTCCAAGCCAGTCTAGACAGAAAGGACTAGGAGACTCTATCTCCAAGTAAACAGAAAAATAACAGATTGGAGGCATGGTTCAAGTATTAGAGCATCAGCTATGAGCAAGAAAGTCAAGTAACAATGTGAGGGTCTAAGTGCCAGAACTAGCAATAAATAAATAAATACCATCAGTATTTCACAAAGGAATCTCTGCAGAATGACAATCCTATATTCCTCTCCATTCTCAAGTTAGTTTGGGGAAACTCAACGTGATATCTTTCCTTTTTGAGTTTCCTCATGTTCTCATTAAAGATCCTCGGGAAAGTCCTGTAGGAAAAAGGAAATCTGATTCCCAGATGGATTTCATAACATAATTCTTTTTTATAATAGGCTTTGCTAATCTGCCTTGGAGCCAGTATTCTTGAGGCCTTATTTTGAGAAATGCTGCCAATAGGCCAGTGGTAGAATTCCCAGAGGAGATGAACTAAGTATAGAGACTTAGGGTCTCAATTTTGACCTTTGATTCTTATGAATCTTTAAAGAAAGGCAAGAAACCTAAATTTTAATAATTATTCCTAATATCTGCATGCTATAGTTCTACATCTTTTCTCATTAAAAGCAAAACCTCACCAGGTGCTTGTGGCCCAGAAGATCACTTATTATCCCTAGATTACAAGTGAACAAATCTAATTTGCCAACATATGTCATGTGTCTCTATGTCTTGAGATGTATTTATAACATCATATACCCAAGCTTTAGATGACTTGGCAGCTAAGGTTCCAGTAATACATCAGCTTAAATCTATCAATCTAAATTTACCAATATTGTATTCGTATGGAAGGAGGGCTACTGAAATTTGAACTCAGGGCCTTGTACTTCCAGGTACTTTTCTATTTAAGCTACTTCTGCCCACAGCTGTTTGGCTTTATTTATTTTGCTTTATTTTATTTTTATTCATTTATTTTTCAAATAGGGTCTCATATTTTTCTCAAGCAGACACGAACTGCAATCTTCCCATTGATATTTTCCATATAGCTGGGATGACAGGTATAAACTACCATACATATCTAATTGGTTGAGGTGTCGGGTTTCATTAGCTTTTGCCTACTGACCTTTGAGTGTCTGAACTTAAAGGTGTAAACCCTCCACAGCCAGCTCTACATATTATTTCTTTAACAGAACTAGTGGCGACATTGATTTCTTATTTGTTAAAAAATATGAATTTTTCCAATACTGGTAAAAGAATGACTTGAAAACAGGGGTCCCTGCTCATCTATCCTGTACCCTGTGGCATATGATGCTACATAGAAACATGGCAGAGGGTGAATTTGTGTCCGAAAATTGTTTTCAATCTATGTAATTTTATCCATCATTTATAAGAAATGAACTCATGATTCCTGCAGTATGTAAAATCTTATTACTTAATAATTCA